TTGTAAGAGAGCTCTATTATTGTTATTATTGTTGTTATTATTATTATTATTATTAAGGAAGAGAGACTGGAATGTCATCACCTAGGCTCAAATACGATAGGGGATAGGAAAACACAAATAAAAAAAATTAGAAATTATTGTAAGAGAGCTCTATTATTGTTATTATTGTTGTTATTATTATTATTATTATTAAGGAAGAGAGACTGGAATGTCATCACCTAGGCTCAAATACAAAAGATGAAATATCGAGTCTTAACACCCCTTAGGCCAAAAACTTTTTTCGAATAAATATAGGGGATAGGAAAAAACAAATAAAAAAATAAAAAATTATTGTAAGAGAGTTTTATTATTATTATTAAGAAAGAGAGGTTGAAATGTCATCGCCTAGGCTGAAACACAAAAAATGAAATATCGAGTCTTAACATCTTTTAAGTCAAAATTTTTTAAAAAAATTAAAAATAGATAAATTAAAAGATGTAATCGTACATATAGAATGCAAAAATTGATAAAATTAATTGTATTTATATTATATTTTAATGATTAAATTAAATATTTATCAAAAAATATTTTAAATCGAGAATGTATTAATTATTTTCCTACATTAAAAAAAAAAAAGGGGAAAACGGGGACAACTATCGATCACTAAATCAATAACATCCTAGATACCACTAAATAGTACAAAGGAAAAATATCAAATAGCATTTCTATGCAATTAAAGTTCACAATCAATTATATATATATTTTTTCCTCAGTTACCTAACCGTATAACACAAGAATTATGGGGCAAGAATTGAAGTTCATCGCTTCATTAATCAGGTTTACATGTTTGAATGCTAGTAAAAAAAATGAATGAGAACAAAAGAAATCAGTTATAGTACCCAAACTCAAGCCATTGGTAGAAAAATGTCAATAATAAACAAAGGTCCAAAGTAGCTAAATGAACTTCATTCACTCGTTTTCTTTCTTTCTGTCACAATTTATATTAAGAACAACTTTATGAAGACACTAAGAAATAATCAAGTGGGAGTTTGAAAAAGTGGCAGTGTGTTCTGAATCCTTTATTAAACTTTAGGGATCAATTTCATTTGAAATTTGATAAATTTAAGGGCTAAATCTAATTAATTGTTTTTTAGTGCCACATAAGCAAACATCAAACGTCCAGCTAGCAGAAAAAAGGGCTAATTTGCATCAATGAGGCAGTTTAAAGGGCTTATACGTCCATTTATTAGTACAGCCGTACAGGAGATGATGTAAAAAAAGGGGAAAAGTTAAGGGGCTTTAACACTGGGTTTTGCCAAAAAAGATATATAAAATGCATTAGGCAGGCTAGAGATTGCTAGAGAGAATTGAAAATGGAAAGATGATCAAATCTTTTCAAATCCGGATATCTGTACAATCCAAAATAATTTAGTACGTACAAAATATCTTTTTTTCTGTAAAAAAAAAAAAAGTTTTCCCCTTTTTTTTTGGGGGGATAGGCAACTAGCAGCCATCTCCAACGGTGGCTCCGGTGGTGGCGGAGCAACCGGTACCCCAAGAGAAGTTGTTACCATAAGGCGGACTTCCGCTATTACTACAACCACCGGAACGACCGGTGAGTTCCTGTCGCTACTTGAAGAGATCTTCGTCTATCTTTATGTTCGAAATCAAAATATCATCCTCTTCAGTTTCACCGTCCAACATCTCCTCATCGTTTCCCTCCCCGGCGCCATTCTCAACGTCAGCATCTTGTACTACTCTGGTGCCTTCTTCAGGAGCTGATAATGGGGCGTTTGGGGAGACGCTAATGGCGGAGAGAGGAGAGGAACAAGTAGCATCCGTGGCGGTTTCTGATGCAGGGCTCTTCCCGAGGATTGATTTCTGAACGGTGGAGAGCTTGTTCCGAGTACTGCCTGCCAGTGAGCTCCGGTGGGTTGGCTTAGGATGCGCGTGCTCACCGGTATAGGTAACGATAAATATGTTGGGATCCAAATTGCTTCGCTCCACCTGTTTCCTAGCCGCGCACGCCTTCGAGCTACTGCACCTGTAGTAGTTTCTGCAGGACCCAATTTTCTCGAGAAAATAAGATGGGAAAAGATAAAGGGTCTAGAGATTGATCAAACATTATTTATCAAAACTCATGCTTAGCTATTGCAGAGACTTGAATCTAACCTTGGGCACGAGCTACCTTTGATGGGTTTCTGGCCATATTTGCGCCATGCCCATGGATCTGAAGACAGATTACCTGCTGTCACATGGCACACAGTTTTCTTTATTTGATGATTTTTCCTGCAAAAGAAAATTAAAAAGGAGGAATTTAATTAGCCATGGATATGCATATGCTTCAATTAAAGTTCACTATATATATCTTAGAAATTAACAAATATAAGAGAGTGTAATTATTTACCTCTTTCTTGATTTTGGTCCTTGAGAATGCACTGACCGGAAGGGAAGGATTGTGCCGGCCGGCGGTTGAACCACCGGCGGCTGCACCTTTGGCTGCCGGCTCAGAGTTTTGCGTTCCTGTACGTATTGCGGCTGCTGTTGGTTTCTGGATTGCCCCAAAACAAAAACAGGATCTGTGGTGGGGGTGTTGATTCCCATGGTGGTGGTGGTGGGAGATTGTGGTTGAAAATGCCGGCCACTAAATTCACCAGGAAAAGAACCGGTGGAGTCAGGGTTATTGATGGTGGTGGTGGGATTGGGGTTCGGCAAAAAGGCCCTATAAGAATCTTGCAGAGAACCATTATTGTTGCTGGCCTGCACGAGATTCGGAAAGAAAAAGGGGTCTTTTTCTTCCTCAAAAGTCAAAGAAGCCAAGCAAGCCCACGGCTCTTCGTTACTGTTCTCAGCTGTGTTGCCGGAGGCTGTGATGGCAGCGGCGGAGGCGCAACTTCTCACCACCGCAAATAGATCCCAGTCCTCTGTCATTTCGCAGCAGCCAATTAATCAACCTGGAAACTATCAAACACCCAATCTAGCTAGCTCTGGATTTCTCTTGCAACTGTAGAACAACTGGCACAAAGGACGGCGCTGACTTTTTTTTGGGTGGAAAAATGAGAAAAATAATGTAGAGAAGAGAAAAGTACAAAAAGATTTAGACAAGAGTAAGTAAGAAGAGAGAGGAAGTGAAGAAGCACTTAACTTGGTAAATTGTTAATTATTTATATTGAGGAAAAGATTCATATTCTAGAAGACCAAAAAAAGGAGGGATAGGGCTATTACGCCAGCAGAATGTTAGGAAGCCAAAAATTATAAAATTTTGTTTTTTAAAATATTAATTTTATTTGATTTAATTAACAAAAATAATTATAATTATAATTATAATTAATTATTAATTATTAATCTTTATTAATTAATAAATTAATTTTTTAAATAATATTTAAAATAATAAATAAATAAATAATTAATTTTAACATTTTTTTATGAAGATGACAACACACCCCTTCAATAGTGGTTTTTTTTACTTCTTTTGTTTATGGAAATTACAAGTTATAATTATCATTCAAAAAGGTATATCAATTAATCAATTGAAAAATCAAAATCATAACATTAATTATTCTAGCCAATCACAAATTACAAATTATAAACAATTTAATACTCCAAAATAAATAAAAATAAAAGTTTTGAGTTTAAATTGAATATTATATGTAAAGTAGGAATGAATAAGCAATAAGGGTTATCTATGCAACTTAAAATAGAAAAAAAAAATACCATATAGTAAATTAGATTTTGTTTACAGTTATGAAATTTTAACTTGAAATATATAAATGTCCCAAGTCCTAACGACCAGCTGACTCGATTTAGGATCCATATAAAACCAACCGGATCAAATTCAAGATCAATCAAGAATTGACATGCGATCGATCATGTTACAAGTCGGTCATGAGGATGGTGAAGTCGAGAATGGAACCAGAATCTAAATCAGACTAAAAACCTGTTTGGTACAGCGGTTAAAATT